TGCTTTAAGATATATAAATAGCACTTAAGGGAGATAAAGTAGGTAGCTAATTTAGGGTGGTGCAGGACTATATACTACTCTATTATTTAATAGCTAGTGTAAGGGGATATAGGATACTAGCTCTAATACACTATAATCTAGGAAACTATAAACCTAATCTTATACCTATACTATACTAAGTACGCCTAGGCAGGAGACTAGATATTCTTTTATTACGTAGATATAAACCTATCTAAGGCAGCGTAGTTAGGATAAGGGCTTAAGATAATCTAAGGCTTAGTTTCTTTTAATAATAAGGACTAAGATAACTATACTAAGCTCCTTATTAGATTTAAAGAAGTTTAGAAGAATTAGGTAAACTAGATAGATAGAGGATTAAGGAGGAACAAGAGGGCCTATATCTAGGCATAGGAAGATAAGGTGCACTAGCCTAAAGAGCTAAGAGAGAAGTGCCCTATAGTAAGATAGGAGAAGGAAATCTATTAAAAAGGATAGGTAAGGATTATAAGCCTAGTAATACTATATAGATCTACTAGACCTACTACTTAAATATAATATATAGTTCTACTATAGTATATAAAAGTTTAGGATAATATAATAATAATAAAGGTGCTAGATATAGGGATATATATAGAGATCGCGCTAGCCTACCTATAGATAAGTATAGCCCTAAAGACTCTATTAGGGCACCTAGTTAAATATAGTAGAGTCTATTAGTAATTCCCTAAAGATATCTAGGCTACCTACTTAACCTAGATATTAAAGGCTATTATATATAAGGTTTAATAGAATAACCCTTTAGTAAAGGTAGAGATCTAGAAGTACCTAATAGGAGATTTAGATAGGGAAAGGATAGGAGTATAGATTAAGAAGAGTTAGGTTAAGATAGTAAAGGAGTTAAAGAAGAATTAGGCTATCTATATTAAAAATAAGAAGCTTATATTTAGTAAGGATAGGGATAATAGTATACTAGACTAATCCTACTTTAGTATAAAGGGGGTGCGGCCTACTAAAGTAGGAGAGTAGTAGAGGTATATTAGATAGATTAAGTAATTAGAGACTCTAGATACTATTAAAAAGCATCTAGGAACTATTAAAGAGGAACAGAAGGTAGAGGGATCTAGGCGCTTAGGGCTAGGCTTTATAGGAAGCCTAGTAAGGGCGTAGAGGAGAACTATCTTGTTAAGTTTAGGTTCAAGATCTAAGACCCTAGATACCCCTACCCCCTTACCTAAAGCTTAACAAGTTAGGAACTAGGGTTATAGACCTAGAGGAGGAGAGTAAGGGTTAAGCTTAATAGGGCTAAGCTTAAAGGAGGGGGAGGTTTGTGCTGTAGCATAGGATATATAGGAGAAAAACAAGGCTTAGCCTAAAAAGGTTAGGTAGATTAAATAGTATAAAGGTATAAAGGATTAGAGGATAGAATATAACAACTCCTAGTAACTTTACTTTAACTCTATAATATTATCTTTTTACTTATGTTCCTGTATTAAACCTATATCCTCTACTACAGAATCACTACTATTAAACCTTGCCCCTCCTACTTCTCCTCGTTTAAATAGGTTACTCTCCCTAACGGTTCACTAGCTGTGCTTAGTACCTACGCTAGAGGTGTCTGCTTAGGGGGTTGTGAATTACTAGGCAGGCCTGCCTAATTATCTACCTCCTCTAGCTCTACCCTACCCGCTCGCTCCTACACTAGGTTTAGTCCTCTTTGCTTACTAGACTCCTTATATTACTCTACTATAATACAAAGCTAATTAAAGATATTAAGCTCTTTATATACTTCTCCTATATTACTTATCTTATCTTTACTAATAATATTAACTATCTTTTAAGCTTCTAACTATTAAAGCTACTCTAGATCTTTCTCTTTATAGAAATCATCCTTATTAAAGGTAATATTCTGCGTTATAATAATCTAATTAAGTAAGGGGATCTATATCCTATATATATTAGATGCTCTATATCCTACTAGATATCTAATATAACCCTAAGGGTTTACCTTAAAAACCCTCTTGTAACGCCTAGCTACTTAATCTCTATTAAGGGGGTAAGCTTAACAGCTATAGGCGTATATTCCGCTCTAATTAGGGCAGAGATTAGTAGTTGCCTCCCTTATCTACTCTAGTTACTACTACCTAAAGTATCTAGTAAACTAATAATCTAGCACTTTATTAGGTAATATTATATTATAAGTATAGGATAGGCTTATATTATAGAGCTAAGTTGCTACTTTAATAATTTTAGGCTAGAGCTTTGTTAGTAGGTTAGCACTAATCCTTATTTTAATTAATTTTGTTATAATCTCCTGCCCTACTCTTTCTGCTCCTCTATTAGGTTTATAGGTATATACAGGTAAGCTCTTAATTTTAATACTATTATTAGCTGCCTAGATCTAAAAACAAGATTTGCTATACTAAGGGAGCGTTATAATATTATTATCTTATATAATCTTAACTATACTAAGCTTATATTAGTTAAGTATTTAGCTCTTAAAATTTTTAAACACCTATATAATCTTATTAAGGTTTTTAGCTTGCAGTAGATAGGTATAAAGCTTTCCTAAGTAGTCGCACTTTAATACTAAGATCTATTACTTGTAAGCTATACCTGTTAGCATATTAAATAGATCCTATAATACCTAGTAGTATAGACGTGGTAATCTTTCCCTTAGTTATCTTAATATAACCTATTAGGCATGTGTAATAGCGCAGTGCTCACATTTGCTCCTAGGAGTTCCTTTAATCCTAATATTTATTACTAACTTAACTAGAGCTTTAAGCGCCTTAGGTCCTAAATAGCCTAATTATTAGTGCTAAAGCTCCTTACTATTATATCTTAGATAGGTTATCTAGGATTATTAGGTTTATTTAGGCACTATACTTTAGATTATTTAATAAGGGGTAGAGGGCTTATATTCTAGGAAAGTTAAGTTAAACTTGCGCAGTAACTTAGCTAATATAACGCTCTTTCCTAATAATCTAAACTATAAGGTAGTATCTAGCCTAAGGAACTAAACTCCTGCTTTAAGTAATTAAGCTTCTAATATAATATTTATATAAAAACCTTCTACTAACACTACGTTAGTAAGCACTAAATCTTCTGTTTTTAGACCTCTTAGTCTATTAAGAGTATTAGGGATTACTCTAGTCCCTCTACCTAAGATTAGAAAAGCTTAAGTTCCTGCTTTAACTATCTTATATTTAACTAATCTAAACAAGCTTTCTTCTAGGTAGCTTATATTATTAACTAGGTGTACTGCACCCCTATTATTAATAATAGTGCTCTTTAATAGAGCGTAAGCTTTAAAGTCTATAGTTAAATAGATCCTATTTGTTTTCTCTGCTATTAATATAGGGTTAATTAGTGCCGCCTAGATACTACCTAGATAGGTAATTATGCTTGCCTTACTACTATAATCTTAATTAATAGGATAGGACTTAATTAGAGCTTTTCTTAACTCTTTAAATTTTTAATTCCTATTAATCTTTTTCTTAATCTCTAATTATTAAGTAGTAGTAAGCTTATTACCTATATTAGTCTAAGCTTTAATAATATTTTTATATTTAGGAGGTTTCTATAGGTAGGATCTACTATATAGGTATAAAGACTCCTTCTTAGGTTAATTAGAAGGAGGAGCTCCTATTATTATAAACACTCTAGGACCTTTAGAGCTTAATCTTATATTATTCTCTTAGAGAAGTAATAAATAGATCTTAGTAACCTATAGGAGGTTATAAGTTAGCTCTCCTATTACTAACTTTTTAATAATCCTTTAAAATATAGTTTAACCCTAATCTAGTAAGATCCTAGTAGATAGAGCTTTAAGATAATCCTATACTATAAGCTATCCTTTAATATTAGGAATGTTGTATACCTTAGCTTGCGTATATAGGATTATCTACTCCTTCTACTAGTAATTAGTATCTTAGCTACTTATCTTTACCTTAGCAAGATAAGCTTTATACTATAATCTTGCTAGTATTATAGCGCTTAAATTAGTTAGCGCTAGGTTATTACAGAGCACTTAGATAAGTGCTTAGAGGGTTACTCTTCCTTAATTAACAAGCTCTATATAGGCTAGGGTAAGGATCCCTTAATCTACTATATTATTAACCTATATAAAAAGGTTCTAGATTACTAATAACTTTAATACCTAATCTAATAAGTAGGCTTAGTACTAAGCTATTTTAAGTTTATACTGCTTGCTTATTATATTAGATAGTATAATATCTATTAGTATATTAGGCTTAATAGGTTTATTCTTAAAGTAGTTTTTAGTATCCTAAGCTTTAGGGTCTACCTCTACCTAGATCCCTTTAGTTAGGGCATAGTATCTAAATTAAATATACTAGGTAGGCTAGTTAGTTAATCTAGTAAGTAGGATATCCCCCTTTAGGATTTAGTTGCTTATAGTAGAAGAGTAATAAGTAAGCTTCTACTTAAGAAATAGTATAAAGAAAGAGTAAAGCTTGCTAGCTTAGTATCTAAGTTAAATAATACGCTTAAATAGATAGGACAATCTTTAATAAGGTAAAGCGCGAACTAGGCTTATAACTATAGAAATCTAGATTACTAAGGTTAGGAATAATTTAGGAGATAGATTATTAGATTATATCTACTATAATTAGACTTATATATATAGAGCTTTAGCTACCCTTACTAAAAGGTAAATAATTAGTAAACCTTCCTTACTAGAGCTCCTGCTTTTTGTTAGGCACTTAGTAGTAAGCTAGCAGTTGATTAGATAGTGGGTCATACAGGGGTATTAATCAGGGTTGATCGGATCAAGATGCTCCGTGATCCGATTGATATCCCTCCTGCAATACTAAGCTACTAGCCTATGTAACCTAAACCTAACCTAGTACCTAACCTAGTGTACACTAACCTAGTTTTACCTCCCTAATTCCACGTACGCGCAAAGACGCCACATTAGTCTGTAATCACAATATTTCTACAGATCCTAACGTCTACCTGGCTAGAACGGTGCATCCATAATGTCAACCAATCTATGCCCCGAGTTAGCAGACGCAGTTGTCTATTGTCCACGTGGGGTTAAGCGTAAGCTACAGACATAGAACTTGCCAACTGAAAAATTAACCGAGTCACAGGCAGAAGAGCTTCTACAATCCTTAATCCCAAATCCTACGTGCAACAAGAGCTTTGGAGGCAAGCGCCAGTTTTGACTGGCAACACCAAGTTTGAGCCACTAGCAAACACAAAAAATATTCTCGTTACTGGCGGTGCTGGGTTTATGTAGGTATTCATCTTTTTTTTTATCCTACTCGTAACTTTAGCATAGAACTTGTTAGTCCAAGAGCACTTGCTGACATGCTGTAGTGCATGCTGGTTTGTCCGGCATCTGGTCCTCACGTACACCCACTACCGGGTGGTCTCTTTCGACAAGCTCGATTACTGTGCAACGCTCAACAATACACGAATCCTGCATGATCGACCTAATTTTGTCTTTGAGCAAGGAGACGTGACTTCGCCGGCTACCGTAAAGCGCGTGCTTCGCAAATATAACATCGACACCATTTTTCACTTCGCTGCACAATCTCATGTCGACCTAAGCTTTGGCAATTCCTACGAATTCACCAATACGAACGTTTATGGTACACATGTCTTACTGGAGAGGGCCAGAGAGCATGGCGTCGACCGGTTTGTACACATGTCAACGGACGAAGTGTATGGTGACGTGGAAGTTGGGGCGGCAGACCTGAGTGAAGCAAGCATATTGGCACCTACGAATCCATATTCGGCCAGCAAAGCAGCAGCAGAGATGATGGTGAGCGCGTACAGAAGTAGCTTCAAGCTGCCCCTTATCACAGTCAGAGCCAACAACGTATATGGTCCCCATCAGTTTCCAGAAAGTCGGTGCCTCATCTTAGTGGTCTACCATGAGCTGACGCAATGCAGAGATTATCCCGAAGTTCATCATGCTTCTACAAAGACAGAGAAAGCTGCTATTACATGGTGACGGTTCACCGACCCGTCGCTACCTCTATGCTGGCGACATTGTTGATGCACTGGATACGGTATTCCACAAGGGCGACATTGGCCAGATTTACAACATTGCCTCGAAGGACGAGATATCGAATATTGGTCTATGTCATAAATTGCTGGATATCTTCGGCTATCCACATAGTAGGGAGGAAGATGTCGAGGAACGAGTACAGCGAACCGAGAACCGGCCCTTCAACGACCAACGATATGCGACAGACGGCTCCAAACTCGCAGCATTGGGTTGGCAGCCCACGACGACCTTTGAAGATGGACTTCGAATCACAGTAGATTGGTATCGTAAGTTTGGCGAGGTGTGGTGGGGCGACATTAGCAAGGTCCTGACTCCATTTCCTGTAGTGGACGGGCGCGAGATATGGACAAAGGAGGAGCACGAAGACTTGTTGTCATCGTCGTCGTCGTCATCGTCGCCATTACCGTATGAAGGCGAAGTGGGGTCCGAGACGCCGAGGAGTAGAGATATGGAAAGAGAAGTTAAAAGATGATGAGATGACGTTGCAATAGTGAAGGTGTCAAAGGCTGTGCCATGCCCCCCTCCCTTTGCATTTGCATGGAGGGTGAGAGATGAAAAGATGAAAAGTAAATGCATGAAGGGGATGAACGGTGCACCGTAGCTAGCCCACCAATTAGTCTTAGACAGAATGGCTCACATTGAGTGGTAGCACCCAACCACTCACTGCCGACTGCTGGCTGGCTAGGGGAACGTGCCAATGGAAAACCCTTTTTTATTATTTTTTTTGGACGAGGCTCAAGCAGTCAATGGATGGGTCGCATGGCAGGTTCATAATATTTCCGTCCCGACGCTTTCTTGCGTGATGCATCATAGGACAGTAAAGCACCTATGTAGGTGGAGAGAGATAGTGCAGCCAGGCACACCAGACACCACACTGCGCACACACACCGCACAGCCTCTTGCGCGCGTCAGCCATGGGGCGCTCTGGGCGCTGGTCTGATTCGAAAGATTGAAACACGCAACGCTCCACGCCTCCACTGTGCAGAAACGCTCGCTTTAGTTTGCTCGCCTTTTCTGCTTCGGCGCATTGATTCAATTTCAATCCTCCTCTCTCGACCGGCCGTAGTTAATCGATAAGAGCTACCGTCACCCGTTACCCCCTTCCCGTCACCCATCACCTATCCGATCCACCTACTCATCAAGTTGAAGTTGATAAACTTCAAGTGCCCCTATCACATCAGTTGCCCCGCACGTCACCTGTTGCCCAACCCCCTTCTAAGTATCTCTGCATACAAAGGCGCGCACCTACTTCCACATTCACGCACGCGCACGCGCACACGCGCACGCTCGTACTTACGCTTGCCACATAGTTCCAAAGACCCAAGCATGGGCTTCCTCAGCAAGAAGAAAGACGAAGGCGATGACAGCAATCGTTCGGCCTTGTTCGGCGGCCGCAAGAAGGAGAAGAGCGGCGGCGCCCCTGCACAGAACCCGTACGCTGCGCCTGTGGCCCAAGACGCCTATGCCCAACCACCGCCAGCTTACTCCAGCCCCAGCGGCCAGGATAGATATCGCCAGGAAAAGTCGCCCGCAGTGACGGCCCCGGGGCAGAACTACGGACAACGACCCACGCCCTCTGCCGCCCCCTCTGGCTACAGCGTCCAAGGTGGAAGCTACGCCGCCCAGCCAGGTTATGGCAACGATCGCTATGGGGGAGGTGGGGCAGCAGCGGCTCCTTCGCGCGGCCCTGGAGGCTACGGGGGACTGGGCAGGACTGCATCCAACGATACAATGAGCACCGACATGGGCCGCAATGAGCTCTTCGGCAACGCTGCACAGCGACAGCAGGCGAAGCCATCCCAGCCAGCGGGCTCTGGTCAGAGTGGCGCTTACGGGGACAGCCAGAGCGGGGGATATGGAGCTACTTCCGGAGGGTACAACGCGGACACGCCTGGGGGCTATGGTGCCTATGGTGACCGTGAGTTGACAGCCGAAGAACAGGAAGAAGAGGACATCACCGCGACAAAGAACGAAATCAAGTTCATGAAGCAGCAGGACGTTTCCAGCACACGCAACGCCTTGAGGCTAGCCCAGCAAGCCGAGGAGACTGGACGCGACACATTAGCACGACTGGGAGCTCAGGGCGAGCGCATTCATAAGTACGCCAGACACTCCACCTCCTTTCCACGTATAGACATGCTGCTGACCCCCCACCAGCACTGAACGTAACTTGGATCTGGCCAGCACCCAGAATCGCATTGCCGAGGAGAAAGCGCGGGAACTCAAGAGTAAGACCCTCAGCATGGCCTTGTCGTGTACTGGTCCATTGACAACCACACAGCGTTGAACAAGTCCATGTTCGCAATGCACGTTGCCAACCCCTTTACGGCGTCCTCCCGCCGTGAGGAGCGCGACAGGAAGATGTAAGCTTGGACCCAGGATCGTGATCTAGCGGCCAACATAAGCTAACAGTCGACTAGTATGGAGACTCACCAGGCTGAACGCGCACAGCGAGATGCTACCCGCAAAGCTGCCTGGGAGACTTCGGCTCGTAACGATGGTGTCAATCGCTCACTGCAAACTGTCGGAGCAGCAAAGGGCAAAGGGACCTTGGCCGAGCGTGCCAAGTACCAGTTCGAGGCAGACTCCGAGGATGATGAGATGGAAAACGAGATTGACAGTAATCTTGGTAAGTTTTTACATTGCAGAGTCAGTCATGATCAATAGTAATGTCTCGGCAGATGCACTTCATGGTGCGGCTAAGCGCCTCAACCATCTCGGTCGTGCCATGGGTGAAGAAGTGGATACGCAGAACAAGCACATTGAACGCATCATTGGTAAGACGGATAGGGTGGACGATCAGATTGCCATGAACCGCGCGCGATTGGACCGTATTAAATAGGAGCTTCCTCTTCATCATAGACGTGTGGTTGCTCAATCTGTCCTGCAAGCATTCAAATTACTCGAGCCAGACACGACACATGCGTCTCCAAGAGACTATACAGAAGGGTGTCTATACAACGAACTTGGCAGCCAAATCCTCTTAATGTGGCATGTCCGTGATGATGCGGTATTTGCACAGATATTGCATGCGGTTTCTGACAAATGAAGAACTCGCAGACTCTTGACAGCGCCTTGAGATGATGACATCCTGTTTTTCTTTCTGGTCAAATACCTCCAGCAAAGCCGTCTGGCTTGTCTTGAGATTGGCGTGGAAGGAGATAGCAGATTAGAGAGCACGACTGGCAGGCAAGGTAGATGATGGTAATTATACAGGAGTCACTATTATATATCAGCGGATCTCTCTATGTTTACATTTCTAGAATCCATAGCTTAAACAAAACTTGCCAATGCCACATGATGAAATCGAATCTGTTGTTCTTAGCTCTCTAATTTTACAGGTATGGAAGTTTTAAAGGAACTAGTAATAATAGCATATAGTACTTGCTGTAGTCTAAATCTGCTGTCTAGGGCATTGCCATTCACTGTCGATCCGTAGTCAGGGTCACCCTACACTTCACCTACACCTACACCCAACCCACCATAATAGCGCTGATATTTCATTTTCAGGACTGAAGTGCCGCTTAACACTATCACGATTACATCTTACAATCTAAACATAGTCGCCAAATATCGAACATGATAGATCTACTCTCTTCTCTCATTTTCACGCCCCTCAACACTACGGCAGTCGCAAAACCAGATTCGACGCCTGTAGCGCTTACCTTTTGTGCTACGGTCGCGCATAAACCGTGCTGGAGAGACGTTCGTCATCCTTCTAAAGGTCGCAGTCCGTTACAACATGAGTACGTTGTGCTGGTTGCAGGGCCTGATGAGACCATCTTGCTTAGTGCGGATGCGCAGCAAGCTTGAAGCCTGTCGGCCAGGTCAACAAATGTGGTAGACCATACTACCTCGAAATACCCTGCTCATGTACGTACGACGATATTATCGTCAACATCACCGGCCATACAGGATGATTCCCTGGACACGTCCTCGCCCCCTGATATGTCGCCACCGCACACGCCTTGTTCACTCAATGGACGTGGATCGGGAGCAAATGAGTGCGAGGACCCCGAGAATATGACCCTGAATATGCGACTCACCTCGTCGCTGGGGCGATTTCGGAAGATGAGCTTCAACAACGCCGAGAGAACGAGGAATTATACCGCGTGCGCTATGCAGATGGCAAAAGGTGGGGCCGGGAAGGTGAGGCGAGGCAATGGCTCTTTCAAGAGATACTGTGTAGGGACATCAGGCGAGCTTGTAGAGGTTACGACAGGGCACTGAAGATGACAGCCGAGATGGAGCAAAAGAGAACTGCTGGTTGGGCTAGAGATAGGAAGCTCGGTGGAAAATCCAGGCTAGGCAATGGCACACCAGGGCACAGGGGACACGAGAAAATGCAAGAATTCTTCCAGGACACGATGAAAAGGACAAATATAGGGACCTTCGACGTAGAAGAAGAGGGCGCTGACTCAGAAGCGGAGAGGAGAACGAGGAAGAGGGCTCACAACATGCCTCGCAGGACTGACTTCCAGGAGCAGACTAGCGAAGAAGAATCGGACAACTATTGAGGCCGCGCAGTTGCGGGAGAGCCGGGAGAAATGATCTAAGCCAGAGGCGAGTTTTCTCGACAAGATAAATGCAGCAGATAACGACTACGGCTTTGGTGGTACTGTAGACAGCTTCCAGATGTTGAACAGGGTGTTAACGGGCCAGCCCAGACAATAGCAGTGGAGCAGCGGAGCAGCGGTTCGGTCCGGTTTGGACAAGAACGGAAGCATGGGCGGCAAATCCTGCCAAGCCAGATGCGGGGAGAGGTACCAGCTTACTTGTACTACAATAGCACTATAGTTACCTAGTGCGTTTGGTACAGTGAATTGTGGGCTATAGCTTTGCTGATGGCTCCAGATAGGTAGCTGCTGCAAGGTACGCCATATCATACTACCTAGACACCATCACCACCATTATCACCTGGACACCACCACCACCACCACCACAAGCACTGCTGCAGCCACTACTGCAACCACTTCCATACATTGCCTGCCACCTGACTATCTACTGGACATTCGTTCCCGCTCTATATAGTAGTGGTAATCTATCTTCACTTCCGCCACCACAACACAACCCCACACAAGACATACACCACACCACGCCAAACCCTTTACTCAATAAATTGTACGCACGTCAATCATGGGCGGAGAAACCCGTCATCGCACCATGCCTCCTCTTTCGCAAGAGTACCCAACACGGGCAGCGGGACCTGTTGGCAAGCAGATTCACCACATCTATCAAGACCGTCTGAGACAATTCCTCGATGCTGGACAATACAGAGAGCAAGGACTTATTGGGTAGGTGATGGTGGCAGTGCTGCTGCTACTGCTACGTCTTCTTCTCCTTCTTAGTCTTTTTGCTGCCTCACACCCTCACCTCCCTCCCCTCTTCCGGAACAATCTAAGCAAAGACTGGCGCACGGACTCGGTGCTGACAAGCGGGGATGCAGCAAGCTCCACGAAGCCACGGCATCCGGTCCTGACTACATCAAGCTCTCCGTCTACTCGCCGCCCGATCTCACGCGGCCCCTGTTTCGCGATGCCACCTCACACAAGTTTAAGCCCACCAAAGTCGGCGAGTCGTTTGGTCCCAGCTGGTCGACGCACTGGTTCAAAGTGCAGCTCACCGTTCCCAAGGCGCTGCTTGACAAGGAGCACCTCGAATTTGTCTGGGACGCCAACAACGAAGGTCTGATCTGGACAGAGCAGGGCGAGACAGTCCATGGCCTCACCGGTGGTGGCGAGCGCACCCAATGGATTCTGCCAAAGTCGTTTCGTGACGGCAAGGAGCACACATTCTATATAGAGATGGCCTGCAACGGCATGTTTGGCAACGCCCCGGGCGGTGATTCCATTCAACCACCGGACCCCAACAGGTACTACCAACTCCACACCGCCGAGATTGTCGCCGTCAACCTGCAAGCCCGGGGCCTCTATTTTGACTTCTGGGAGATATCTGATGCGGCTCGTGAGTTCCCTGTTGACTCAATCGAAGCCCATGACGCGCAACAGATTGCCAATCGCATCATTGACACCTTCATCGCTGGCAATGGAAGTAATCAAAGCATTGTCGCGGCACGCAAGATAGCAACTGAGTATATTGGAGCTGTCGACTCACATAAGGTCTATGATAGTGGCCAGGAGGCTATCGTAACAGGTATTGGATACTGTCATATCGACACATGTTGGCTGTGGCCTTTCGCAGAGACGAAGCGCAAGGTGAATAGATCGTGGTCGAGTCAGTGTGATCTCATCGATCGATACCCCGAGCTACGCTTCTGCTGCTCACAAGCCCAGCAATACAAGTGGCTGGAGCAAGACTATCCCTCGACATTTGACCGCGTTAAGGAGAAGGTCAAAGACGGAAGCTTTCAACCCATTGGTGGGAGTTGGGTGGAACATGATACCAATCTACCGGGCGGCGAGTCTCTCATCAGACAATTTCTATATGGCCAACGCTACTTCGAGAGTAGGTTTGGCCAACGCTGTCGCACGTTTTGGCTCCCAGACACCTTTGGCTACTCGACTCAGCTACCGCAAATATGTCGAATTTCAGGCATGACGAGGTTCTTGACTCAGAAATTGAGCTGGAACAATATCAACACCTTTCCCCACACAACCTTCAATTGGGTCGCTCTTGACAACAGCCAGGTTATTTGTCACATGCCGCCGTCAGAAACCTACACTTGCGAGGCAAATTTTGGTGATGTCAAACGAAGCGTGTCCCAGCACAAATCTCTTGATCAGGACAAATCATCACTTATTGTCTTTGGAAAGGGTGATGGCGGAGGCGGCCCAACTTGGCAGCATCTTGAAAAGCTCAGGCGATGCCGCGGTATCAGCGACAAGACTAACCTTCTGCCTCGCCTCAAGCTTGGCGATTCTGCCGATGACTTCTTCGACCGTCTAGAGAAGAAGATTGCGAACGGCGCCGAGCTTGTGACATGGTACGGCGAGCTGTACTTTGAGCTACATCGTGGCACGTACACGACTCAGTCGAACAACAAGCAGAATAACAGAAAGTCTGAGATCATGTTACGCGATATCGAATATCTAGCTACTTTGGCTACGCTTAGGAATGGGTTCGGCAAAACCAGTTCATACAAATACCCGAAGAAGGAAATCGATGACATGTGGGAGAATGTTCTACTTTGCCAGTTTCATGACTGTCTTCCAGGAAGCTCGATCGAGATGTGTTATGATGATTCTGACAAAGTAAGACTCATATTCCGCCTGCTGGATCAATATTGACATATCTAGATATATGCGACAATTTTTGCCATTGGCGAGAGACTCATGTCTGAAGCACTTGCTGAACTTGGCTTCGATGATACATTTAGCCTAGAACCAAGCAGCAAGTTGGCTGCGCTAAACACCTTGCCATGGCCGCGCAATGAGATTGTCAGACTCCCATCTCCTGTCGGTCAGACTACTTATGGTCTTGCCCATGGTAATGGATTGGGTCCAATGTCTATTCGACCTCTTGCATCCACTCATTCCGCAAGCATCGCATCCATTGAAGAAGTCCGTACAAATGTCTTCGAACTTCGCAATACTCAATTTGTCGTAGAGGTAACGGATGGTGCTATCACTTCGCTCTACGACATTTCTATCGGCCGTGAACTCGTTCCCAAAAGCAAAAAGGCTGCCCAATTAGTCATTTATGATGACAAGCCGCTTTATTGGCAGGCTTGGGATGTCGAAGTATACCACCTAAACTCTAGGAGGGAACTCTCACCTTCCAAAGTGACTATTGCTGAGGACAGCATTCACCGTGTCTCTTTGATCGTTGAGACAAAGATTTCAGACAAGTCCTGGATTAAGACGACCATCTCTCTCCCTGCTGCCATTGGCAATGCACCAACTGCGATTGAATTCCACGCAGAGATTGAATGGCACGAGACCATGAAGTTTCTCAAAGTAGAATTTCCAGTTGATATCGTCAACACCGAAGCAAGTTACGAAACTCAGTTTGGGATTGTTCGACGTCCCACACACTACAACACCACATGGGACATGGCCAAGTTTGAGGTTTGTGTCCATAAGTGGGCAGATCTGTCAGAAGCCACGTATGGTATTTCAATTCTGAATGATAGCAAATACGGTTTTGCGGTCGCTGGAAATGTGATGCGACTCTCACTCCTTCGTGCTCCTAAAGCGCCAGACGGTCACGCAGACATGGGGAACCACAAGACCCGCTACGCAATCTTTCCTCACGCCGGCCCCCTGAGCGAAGTCACTGTCCGCAAAGCTTTCGAATTCAACAATCCACTTAGGATTGTGGGGCACAAGACCAGTTTGTCGAGGAATCCAAGTTTGCTGAGCACATTCCAAATCCACGGCGCGCCGAACCTTGTTCTTGATACTATTAAGCGCGGTGAAGATGATGAAGATGTTTCACGCGGTGAGTTGCCAATCCAAAAAGGGCATAGTGTTATTTTACGCGTGTATGATGCGTTGGGCGGGAAGAGCAAGGGTGTTCTTACTTGGGGTGAGGTACCCGTGAAAAACGTAGTAAAGGTTAATGCGCTAGAAGATGATCTACTGGATCTTAGTGAGAGTATGGTGGAAGTGGAAGTGCAGAATGAGAAAAAACAGAAGGGGTTCAAGCTGGAGCTCAGGGCGTTTGAGATCGCAACGTACAAACTAGTGCTAGAATGATGGCATGGTAAAATATTTTTAGCTTACAGCATGCTTTGATCTTTCTGTATTGCATCCTTTTTAAGCACCTATTAAAATGGGCTCCTTACAGATGTTCCCGCCCGTACAACAAGCGAAACCATCCAACAGCACAGAACAAATGAAAGAAAAACGTTATCATTCATCACATCCTGGCCGCGCATTCAGAACAGCTTTGCACCAAAAGTCTGGGTGCCGCCTCAGCAGTCAATGACAACCGAAGGCGACGTTACTCTAACAGTTTGACAATTAAATGACAGCGACATAACAACCACCATCTCTGTGGCTGGACATCGCCCGCGTTCGGAGCCCATCAAAGTCCAACTTGATGTAGCAAGTAGATGATTGTACACGTGAAGGTCAATCAGTAGCCCGATGCTTATTGTTCTCCAGTGATGTAGCAGGGGGAAAACACTATTGTCCCTGTGAACTCTTCCGTCGCTTCTGCAAAGTACGTTCATTGAGGCCTCTTGATTGACGAAACATAACCTTATTGAATGAGATGGCAAGAAAAGCGAGCGATGGTATGAACCCAACTTGAGCACTTCATGTGAGATGGGTATATACAGCATGCACAACCAGAAGCCAAGCGAATGACAACTCCTCCAATGAAAAACGTCGACGAGACGTAGCTATGATCAAAAACAAAAGATACGAAACCACAAGGGGAAATAAATATATAGACCAAGTTAGAAGAATCGCATTAGCGCTTTGAGTACATCCGACTGACTCTCACGGCTTTGATGCCGTGGGAATCACATACTAGAGCAGCTTTGCTATGCGAGATAATTGTAAGGTCCGGGCAAAGGTACACTCCGCAAACTAACTGCAAGCTGTTTCCTGGTGCACTACCATTCGAAACACCGCCAACACCAATGCTTGCAAATTTTGCATACCAAACTGTGAGCATACGCATACAACCAACTGGTTTAATGCGTGAAATGAAAAATAAAAGGGCAATTTACTGTAAAAGTACCAAATTATAGGTGTAGATTTTTTACGCGCCTCTATCGTGATTAGCTCGAGGCGTAGGATCGGCATCCGGTGTCGTTGCATCTTCTTGAATGGGTGCTTTGGGAGTCTCGATGGCGAATTCTGCCACGGCATCGCCAGGAGCGGTGGGGAAGATCTCTGGGGGAGTGAGTGACGTGGGCGGGGCCTCGTGGATGGCTAGACCACCTTCGTATTCCTCTGCAGCTTGATCTTCGGTGATCATCGGGGGAGGGGACGACGGAAGCGTTGATTCGTGGACACCAACATCGTCGACAGAAATGACACTACCCCTGCTGTTTGTGCGCATCATCTCAATACCCAGTTTAGATGTGGACTTTGGACGCGACTTTGGACTTCTGACGCGAACATTCATATGGCCCAGCTCGTCGTCTTCGTCGTCACCAGACTCGGCTGATTCGTGTTTGCGTGTCTCAAGTATACGTCGTTTAGCACCAACCTGCTCTGCCGACCGTTGACGTCGGATGGTTGAGTCCTGAAGGACAGCCGGTGCAGAGTCTCCATGGGGTAGGTCAGGCGCACCTGAACGATTGTGCACCGCCGTCTTAGGATCCCGATTACCTGCATCGTCTGTAATTCCCAGGCCACCCATAGCTCTTGCGATATCACGCTCGCGCCAATCGTCGGCGTTATGGCAAGCTATGAGAACAGGCATATCCTCGCCTGCGCGACTATCAGTATCGCCGAAGAAGCTAGAGCTGATAGAGTCCTCGCGGCTGGACCCTCGATAGCTACCAGAGGGCACTGGAGGGAAGCTGGAAGAGTTTGATGTGGGGCTGTCCTCCTGGCGTGTCGATTCCTGTCGAAGCCCGGATGAGGGCAGTATAGACGGAAACATTTGGTTTGGCGTCCATCCTGGTGGAGGTGCTTTCCACTGACACAATCTCCCCAAGGTATCTGTAAGCTTGGCGATCGTTGGAGGTTTCTCAATGAGTGCATCAAAGTAATGTGGGGCCTGGAGCTCCTTCAAATACCCTGTAACTGCGACGATGGGAGTGTGGGTGTTGGCATTTTTTGTGTCTCGGATCATGCGAGCGACATCTGCACCATTGACTTGTGGCAGTCGGAACTCCATCATGATGACGTCGAACTTGACTTCACCCATTGCATAACGAACAGCTTCCGAGCCATTCGTGACCGTCAGTGTGCGGCAGCGCAATTTTTCAAGAAGCTTCTCCATAACCAGACGTGAGACTGGATGGTCTTCGCAAATCAACACGTCCAATGGTCTGAAGAATGGTCCGTCCCCGAAGCTAATCTGTGACAGTCGACGAGAACTCTGCCGGCGCCGTTGGACCCGAAGAAGGGCTTTCGCTCTAGAATCCTCTGTATCAGACGATGAAGGAGAGACATCTAGCACTTGACTACGCCGTTTGTAATGCCCAGGCAGCAGATCACGCACAACATCGTCCTCTTGAGAGCCCAGAGTCTGAGACCGGGCACGTGGTGAGGAAGCACTCATCTGGCCCACAGATGTCTGTTTCTGGCCAGGGACAAGTTTCTCAGGAGGTGCAGTAGCCGGCCCTGACGGCGTTTTCGCGAACTTGATGGGCGAGACAGCTTCTGATGATGGTCTCAAGCCAGAAGGTCGCGAAGTATCAAAGAAGCTGCCAGGCTGCAACGAGGACGGATTACTAGTCGAATGTGAAAGCGTGCTTGAGCTGCTCGAAGTCTTGCGGCGGTCATGGTGTTGCCCTGTGCTGAACTGGACTAGCAGAGGTGATGAGGGCTGTGAGCCACGGCTTGGTGACGAGTGAGGTCCACTAACAGAGGGCGAAGATGGCCTTCCACTAGCTCTGTTCGTTGAGAGTGTACGCTTAAGAGGTCCTGGCAACATTGGACTGTTCTCCAGGGATGGTGATGTGACATTGGGGGATTGCACCGCAGGACCGGGCTTATTCTGTGGAAGCATGGCCTCTGCACGCAGCTTTTGGATGACGTCTTTGTTCGCCTTTTCGAGCACAGGCAAATTTTTGTAACTAAAGTTACCAAAGTCGTCCGCGGCCATCGGCTCACTCAGCCTTCGTGTTCTGCCCTCACGCACGTGGGCTGGAATGTGAAGAGGTATTAGACCTCGTTTCATGGTTGAAACGGTAACCTGCGAACGCACTCTAGAAAGCGCATCATGTGGACGGTCTGGGTAGTCAGCGCTGGGCGTGCCTGCGGACGAGGTGGTTTGGTCTTCAAACTCTGGGGTGAAATTGGCCATAGCAGCTCCTCGTGCGTCAAAATATTCCGTATCTTCCGGATTCTCCGGCGCTGGAATGAAAGAGGCTTCGTGGTCACGTATATCATCCCAGTTGACTCCGGCGAACCAAGGGTGATGCTTGATTTCCTCGCCCCCACTCGCGTACTTTTCATCCTTGTTGGCTCCAAGACGTTGAGTGGGATCAGAACACATGAGCCTATTCATCAAGTCTTTGGCATCATCTGAGATATCATAGAGCTCATCATCGTCCTCAGGCCAGTCAATTTTACGCTCCAAGATGTTCTGAAATACCTCGTCTGGTGTGTCAGCGTGAAAAGGAGGGTAGCCGTATAGACACTCGAACAAAATACATCCCAACGACCACCAATCGCTGACCTCATCCTGGCCATTTCCAGCAATCGTCTCGGGTGCAAGGTAATCTGGGGTACCGACAAATTTGCGATTGTTGTCTTCTGGGTCGAACAAAGCCATTGGCGGAGGTGGCATTGTCGAAGTAGCTGGCGGAGTGCTGTTTTGAGCAAGGGCAGAGGAGCTCATAGATTGGGGTGCTGGGTCCAAGTCGGGGGAGCCATCGTCACTATATGCTTCTTCCTCAATAGGCGACCGTGCACGTGGTGGACCGGCAGAGTCGTCGATAGAGAAGCGACGGAGCATTGCCTGAAGCGCATCGCTGTCTTGACTTTCGCTCTTACCAGATGTTCGTCTCGAGGGATTGCGACCTTGTGAGCTTTCTCGATTGAGGCTGAAATAAGATGGCTGCCCAATGTCTCCAGCTAAAGCAGGCGTCATGTGTGGTGTCTGAGATGGCGATGGATTGAGGTCAAACGAAGCAGATCGTGATGAGCCCATGGAAGTTGCTCGATGGAACGGACCGGTCTTCAACAGATCTGGAGCTTGATCTGCAGACTTAAGAGCGCGCTTCTGACGGCCAATCATGCCCATACGAGACAAGCCAAAGTCAGTCAATTTCAAATGGCCCTTGCCATCAATGAGGAGGTTGTCCGGTTTCAAGTCACGATGGACGATGTTTCGACTGTGAAGATGTTCGACACCAAGGACCACCTCAGCCAAATATTTCTTGGCCCAATCTTCAGGTAAAGCGCCGAGAACCTTGATCAAAGAGGCGCAATCACCGCCATTAAGATACTCCATGACGAGATAGAGATAGTCCTTGCTCGAGAACGTCCAGTATAACTTCGCTACGAAGTCGCTCTCGCCTTGCCACATCATAATAGCTCTTTCGGCCTTCACGTTGGTGACTTGATTCTTTGCAACCATGTCCGCCTTCTTTAAGACCTTGATGGCATAGTATTCTCCGGTAGACTTCTTTTTGGCAAGGTAAACACTACCAAAGGCACCTTTACTGATCGGTTTAATAATTTCGAAGTCTTTGATGGAGGGAGGAACAGCGCGAGCTTGTGGTTGAGTGGTAGGTATGAGTCGGGGCGAAACTGGTCTTGGACCATCTGATCCTGCCGTCGATGACTGCCTGCGATGATGATGATGATGATGGTTGAGAGCGTGCGAGATAGCTGGCGAAGAAAATTCAGTTGTCGTCAAGACTGGCGAATTGATGGGTGACTGCAGCGCTTCTACACCACTGGGAAGACGTGGCTTGGTGGTCCTTAGCGGTGAAGACGGCGGTGGAACCATCGTACGAGCGGGGGACTGCTGTCGGCTTGACAGAACGCTTGGAAGGATGAGACTCTTACGCTTCCTTTCTCGTGAACTTGCAACTCTGCTCAGTCCAACGTCCGATGCCGCCGGTGAGTCCGCTCGTCGTGGGCCAGACAGTACAGAGGAATGCATGCTCGTGTCGCTTTCAGCACCAGCATCACTCTCGAAATGCATAGAGTGGCGCTTGTTCTGGTTGACAACATTAATGGCGCCTGCATGGGTTTTGGGGGTTTGGCAACCTCCTTTGGGACTGCTGGAACGATTCGAGCCAGCAACTGACGACTCTCGACGACCTACACGCGCAGGAAGCGAGAAGTCGGAGGCATTGTTGCGTAGAGCCTGGGCTATGGCCGACGGGGCGTCGAATGAACCTGGGAAGATGCCTTCTTCTGCAGTAGAAATGTCATTCGAGTCCGATGGGGGCTCCTCTACAACTGGCTCCTCTTCAGACGAGCTGTCCTCACCAGCCGCAATGCGCGCAGCCTTGACTATTGCGGCTTCGATGCACTCTTGGACCAAAATGTCAAATTCTACACGGAGACGCTCAGAGTACTCTAGAACCCGTCTGTGGCGTGTAACAGCATCGATCTTGGCCTTGGCCAATCTATTGGTATCTTCACAGAGCAGCTTTAGGCCTTCAGTATGATCGGATGAGCCTGATGTCGGAGATTGCCACTGCAAGACCTGCGAGATACGATTCTCCGACTGGGGGGACTGCGTACGAATCTCAGCTGCGGACTGTCCGCGAGCAGTATCTTTGATGGCAGGCGTGTTGATCTCAAGTGCAGTATCACACAAATCGAGAACCAGCTCCACGATTCGAGCCAAGGGCCGACGCACAGCGAAGGAACGTGCACGATGATGACCAAAGCCCGTAGATCGCTCGGTCCGCTCTCGAGATCTTGAAGGAGGAGAAGCAGGCGAGTTGCGTCCAGATGGTGTGCCTGATGAAGGGGTGGATGAGGAGTGGATTATCAGTCCCTTATATTCAGCCGGCATAAGGGGTTGGACAGGATCCATCGAGGCAGCACGAGACCGCTGACTGTGTGCTTCGAGCGTGTCCAGCACCCTGACGATGGCATTGCGGTGTTCGGCGAGGGTCTCTTGAGCCATCTGCACGTCCATCTCGGCACGATGTTCCTGAAGACAAAGCTCAGAATGCTTTTCGAACCACCACGGCGTGATCTGCCGCTCGCAGATGCGACAGAGGACGGGGAGTGGTGGCGGATGGTTCCTAGGGTCGTTGGCTCCTTGCTCGGCGAGGCCCGTCAGATAGTGAGCTAGAACCTCTGCACCCACTCCCAGCGATTCGACCAGAAATTCGGGCAAATCAATCGTCACTTCACGAAGTATGGAGGGTCGAACCATCCACATTGTCTGCACACAGTTAGCTCATTTCCAAGCCCCCGACCAGCAAACCTACATGGCTCTCTTCCCCCGTGGTACGATCGTACACCATGATACCCTGTGCCTCTAGGTTCAGGAGCTGCTCCTCTTCTTCGGCAGCTAAGGTGGGCGATAGTGACGAAGCCTCTTCGGCCTCGAGTGCCGTTGGCTTCGACCGCCGCTTGTGCAAGATGGAGTGCTGGCCGAGGCGGACAGAGAAGCGGACAATGTGGCTGCGTGAGTCGTACTTGCGAACCGACTCGATGGTCTCGGCGAAGGCGTCGGCACCAGCGTAGATGATGTCGAGCACCGGCTGCCCTATGACTTGATCGGGCAGAGAGCCGATGACGTCCTTCCACGACGGACTTACGTAGCGGATCTTGCCCTGCAGGTCGAGGTCCATGATGATGTTCAGGCTGTGTTCAGCAGCCTCCTTGAGATCTTGACGCTCCTCGCGCATGTCCTGGCTGACGGTACGCTCCATGTTGACGCGGTTACCAGGCGTGCCCACGGCTTCCTGCCGCAGAGCAGTGACGGCTGGCGGAGCCAAGGTTGCAGGCTTTGTCTGATCGGCCATGGCGGAGCCGCAGTGTTTGTGTGGGGGCCGTTCGCCCTCAGGCGGACTGAACGAATGCTATGAGCAGACGACTCCCATAGTCTGGCGGCCGAGGGAGGGGGCGGACTTGTTGTGGCGGTGGGAGAAGCGTGGGTTGGAGGGTGGTGGTCGGTGGTCGGTGTCAACAGAGGACTGATGGCAACGGCGCGGCAAGAGCAGGCGGACGAGCGCGACCGGAACGGGGAATGTGGCCGCCGCAGACGAGGCTAGACGTACTGCATTGCGCGACCGATGTAGCGATTGAGTTGTGGTGAGCGGCTTGTAGAGGTCACAGAATGCGGGCGCGAACGTGGTGTTGATGGTGGGCGTGGGTGTGGCTATGGACTTGGGTTGTGGTTAGGGGCGACCGAAAGAGATAGAGCGGGGAAGTAGAGGGGGGACAACACACACACACACAGAGAGAGAGAGAGAGAAGAGAGGGAGAGAGGGAGAGAGAAAGCGTCGGGAGAGAGTCGGGAGAGACAACAGAGACAACAATTTTGGCGCAATGGCCGGTCGGACGTCTGCCCAGGTTAGAAAAGAGGGGTAAGCAGGTCTCTAGAGAGGGCAGCGGCAGCACCAGCAGCGTGACCATGGCGGCGCACGCTGCAACAAGACGGAAGAGATGGGCGATCAATCCCATAGGCAAAAACGCTCCGCCCAGGCCTGTGAGGATCCCAAAGGCAGGCTGCCCTACTACCCGGTATTACTACTACTACTGCTACATAAGTAGCCCACCATATAGACAGTACACTGTACATCGTACACTACACACAATACACAATACACAATAGGTACACGCGCCAGACAATATAGATCAACATTCAGACATGCACCACCACATTAGTCGTCCCAAGGCTGCTGCTGCTGCAGCAATTGCTGTCCCCAAGAGCGTGCAAATCACTTACCTACTCTAGGACAGCACCGCATTATTGTCACGTTCGTTGATCTGTGTTGACAGTGTCTCTTGTTTTTTCTTTCAGATCCAGCTATCCTGTACACAGATGGTTTGCCGACACTGACAGTAGCAGGACTGACAGTATGACAGCCCTAGAAGTCTTGAACCGTCAGGCTGGCGTCAGGCTGGCGTCAGGCATTCTCTTCATCAGTCCACCGTCAGGCGACTTCCATGTCCGTTGAAAGCTGTCTGCAGCCAGCTGTTGAACGTTGCACTGCTTCGCTTCTTTATTGCTTTCTTGACAACCATGTGCCCCCTCGGTGCATGCAGATCCCTATCAACGAATCATAGACAGTGAGTAGCTGCAGCCATACACACACACACACACACACTTAGGTACATGTATACTACATACACACACTACATAGGTATTACATACTATACAACACACTACATATATACTATGTAGAGTATCATAGTATAGGTACCAACCATGGGTGGGTATGGTGCGGGGCAAACGGCTTCCGCCCCGAGCCAATCCAAATCCACACCAAACCTGGGGAAGAGGGTTGCGCAATCCAGCGATCCACTGTTTTCAACGTTGGAATGTGACAGCAACTCGCTGAATGGGCCGCATATGCAAATATTCCCTCGGCCGTTCGTTCTGTTTTATGTGAGGGTATGTCTGCAAATGCGTTGGGCCCTCTGCCTCAGTCAAAGTGCACCGCCTCAGGCTTATGTACACATATCCTGCCCGAGGCCGCGCTCTTCAAGACGATGCGGGGATCCTCTCGGCTCGCCTTCACTTTCTTGCCATCCACCTCCTGCTGCTCGTACAGAACCTCCACTACCTCCCCATCAATCCAACCTGGCAGGGCATACCATTGCGCTGATTGACCCTTTTTTGGCACACGTGTTATGCTTCCCGCCGCACTCGATGGCTTGTTCTGCTTCCCATCAATGCTCGTTTGCTTCTTGCTTGGCCTGCCTGGATGGCTCGAATGCTGATCGCCTGCTCGTTTTTGACCGCCAGAAACATCCGAGTGTTGTTCATCTTGAGACGTTTGGAGGGCTTTGCGATTCTTTACAAGAAATTTCTTGTACTCTTCCCTATTTCGTTCCATGCTCTCTGGATCATCCCAATATGAGGTGCAATCAGTCGCATCCTTCCTGCCGTTGTTGTGATATGCGCCATGGGCTGCCGCACTCTTTGCATATTGTCTGGCCGACATTTTCGATGAGAGTGATCTCTCGGCTGGTCGTGCGGCACACAAGGATGCGGGATAGGTGTGATCACTGTGATGCGCAAGTCGACAGCGGATTGCGAATGCGAATGCGAATGACTTCCTCACAGGTCTGCAAACTACGCGAAACATGCTGAATAGGCGCATGCAGCTTTATGCCTTCGTCGAGCCAGCCCCCTTTGTACCAAACTTTTGAGGAGCACTTTCTCTGACGTAGGTATCAGTACCGGTACCCGAGCAGGCCTCATTTCCATCTTGCCCAGCCACACGTATCATTCTCCTTTCTCCCCAATGACGATGCTATGATTCTATGAACAGTGCTCGATTGTGGTACCAGGTATTTCAATTGGTCGCATCGTATGGTACGCAACGCCTTCGCTACGACGTCAACGAATGCGGGATGGCGTTGGCCCTCGGCGCATCTATTAGCCAGATCGTGAAGCACGGCCCGATTCGCAACATTTGGGAGCAACTGGCGAGCATACGGTAGTGTGAAAACGTTTGACTTAAATCTTGCTGGTACAGTGTACAGCACATACCTAGTGCTCGCTACCACGGCCCCAAGCTCGGGAGTTTCGAAGTTGCCCAACAACTTACAGGGCATACAGTGTGTGTACCTTTGATAATGGTAAAGGTGCGCATGCATCGAGAGATGCCATTCCAATGCTACAGTCCACATAGCAAAACGCCAGCGCAGTCTATGGAAAGGGGAACCCGCTGCTTAGGTAGGTACCATACCATATCTCTCTCCTCTATATTGCATCCTTGTGTAATCTAGGCACATTACACTGATACATAGAACGATGTTGGTCATCAGAGACGCGTCGCGTGGAGGCCCAAACGCGTGATCATGTGGCTGCCTGTGCAAGCACGGCCGCTAGCATGCCATTGGCCAATGTGCCACCTCCTGTGGTGAGACACTGAGCCTGGCACACAATTTCTCGAGGTCTGTATCCTCCACACTCGACGGCTGCGCTGGTGCTCGTATTCATTCTCTTGCTGCTAGTAAGGTAAGCTTCCGTCTCTTCTATGGCGTGGCAGTACTGGTACATGTCTGCGCCTGCGAAGATGCTGTGCGCTGACTCACTGTCTTGTAGAGCCTCAGCCTGTTGTTTCCTTTGGCAACCCTCGCGTCGTCTCTCGTCCCCCACGAGCCCCATCTCTACTCTACACCACCAAGGCAAACACCTGTCTTTGGCACTTCCACTTTCACGTCCACGCAACGCATCCCCATCACTCCTTGCCCTTGGTCAGGATTGCATCTACGAAGCCGTCCCGCCTGCTTTGCTGCTTTCGAGCAGTGCATCGCCAGCGGTATCCGCACACTGGCACCTGTATTGCATAAACTGTGCAATTCTTTGTCAACGCGACCAAGGCAAACGCCTGTTTCCGTGCAAAAGAAGCAACCTTGGCCTCAGAAAGACAGCCTGTGTCCCTGCGTCGTGCATAAACCCCGTTACCTAGTGAAAGACTACCTGGCGGACGACGGGGTGAGTGACAAGTCTTCTAGGACGCTGTACTTTGCCAGCTTAACTTGATCTGGTCTTCTGTTGTTCTCCCATTGATTTGGAAGACGTATATACAACGCCTTCATTTCTTTCCTGCTCCAGAATCTGATCCTCTTCTGGGTAGCTTGAGAGGTTGTGCCGCGATTGATCGATCATTTGATCGCCACAACTGCAAACGAGTGTGTTGCACCTTTCACAGCAAATCTCAACAAATAGCGGCTCGAGCACGATCGCAACGCTGCGCTGCCCCTCCAACGCACATATATAGATCCTCATCGCCTGCGCCTTTCATCGAACCAATAGCTTTCTCCAACCATCCCCTTGACCGTCACACTAGACATTCACTTTCAAACCTCGTACCATATCGATCGCGCACAACATATCCTCCTCCACCAGAAGAATGGACGCGAACCCATCACAACAGACACAGCCGCTGACCCAGCAAGTGCTCGACCCTCGGCGATTGGGAAGAAACAATTCTGGTCTCAATGATGGCGACATCGCTGACGTCCTTCTTATCCTTCATCCGGCAACGCCCACAGCGATACGCATCGTCGAACAGGCAGCACATCAGCGGCCCGAACATGTGCTCTTCCGCAACTCTCTTGAATCAATGGGCAGCTCCTTAACCGACATCGAAGAGCAGGAAACAATCATCATCGATGTTCATGGTGACAGGACGGGACATAATTCACGTGCCGGCGCTGACCTGGCTTTGCGAATGTCTTCGGCTCGTCGACTGAAATGCAAGGATCTTGGTTTCATCTTCGGTCGCAACCCCGCAAGCGCAGACATCATATTTGGGAACGATTCCGGAAAGCGGATCAGCAACCAGCACTTTCGGATATACTTGAACACAGATGGCATCATCATGCTCGAAGACATGTCGACAAATGGTACAATTGTCGATGACGTGCTGTTGAAGTGCAAAGACGCTCGATTCTCCAAGATTCGGATGCTAAGCTCAGGTTCCATCATCTGCATACAGAACTCAAATGACGCAGAGATGATCAAGTTCATAGTCCGCATACCATCGCGCGTGACTTCAATGTCGCGTTTTCAGGAGAACCTCCGTAGATTCATAACCGAATGCACCCCTCACACGGACGAAGATCAAGATGAAGCTGTGCAGCGGATCACACAGCATTACGGTGGGCCTGCCATGAAGTGGGATGGAGGTGCAAATTACAATATAATTGGTCAAGTTGGTAAAGGCGCCTTTGCGACTGTGTACCAAATCGCGACCAAAATGGATGGCAAAGTTCTTGCTGCGAAGGAGCTTGAAAAGCGCCGCTTCGTCAAAAATGGCATGTTGGACAAGAAGATTGACAACGAGATGAGAATTATGCAAGACCTGCGACACCCGAATATTGTCGAATTTGTGGAGTACCATGACCAAGGCGATTACCTGTATATCATTATGGAATTTGTACGTTGTGGGGACTTGCAAGGTTACCTTAACCAAGTCGGGCTGATGAAGGAAGATGTTGCGAAGACGATGGCCCAGCAAATCTTGAGTGCGCTCCATTATCTCCATCAATCACAAATTACGCATCGCGACATTAAGCCAGACAATATACTTATCGCTGACGTGGATCCATTTACGGTCAAATTATCAGACTTCGGCCTGTCCAAGGTGGTCAAGCACGATGAGACTTTTCTCAAGACCTTCTGTGGCACATTGTTATATTGCGCTCCCGAGGTATTTCCCGACTACGGCACTGGCTCCGTCAGAGGTACCAAGCGTCGTCGCGGCGCGAAGGTGTACCATTCGTACAGCTCCTCAGTGGACATATGGTCGTTCGGAGGTGTTTTATGGAATGCCCTCTGTGGTGAGCCACCTTTCAAGGGCATTTCGGATGCTACTGGAGAAGCCATGTACAACAATATCATGTCCTCACACCTTGATCCAACGCCACTGCAGAGAGCTGGCGTCTCAGCTCAGTGCATCGATCTGCTTATGCAGATGCTTCGCACCGATCCCTCCAGACGCCCGACTGATCGAGAGTGTCTCAGCCATGAATGGTTGAAGGATGGAGCTGATGTTCTAGCCGATCCCATCTTACAGTCCATCGTCGAAGAAGATGAGTTGGAAGACCCGGAAGAGCAGCTTTCTCAGCTAAATATACGTGAGAAAGTCCCTGAGTCAGATGAGGACGAAGAGGCAGACATCCTTTCCGACGATGAGCTTATGGGCTTACTGGACGATCGAGCTTCCAAACGGCCACGAGCTGACCCACTCTTCCCACGGAACCAGCTCCGTGACCACGATGACTCCAGTGCAGCTCCTTCATTCCAATCGTCGCATCTAGTGGGGGAAGGCGAGAGCTTCCAAATCATGCCAAAGGCGAGGCAGCCACGCTTATTTGGTGAGATCGGGCAGTCTGTTCTGCAAAGCTTCAGGACCCTCCATGCTCATGCGGAAGATGCCTTGGCTGATGACCAGTTCATCCATGGTACGCCAGATACTGGCGAGGCGGATATCAGTCACACCGTCGGTGGAGCTGAGCAGGACGGGGCATCTACACCACATTCCAAAGGAGGCTGCAACTTCTCGTCTCCAAGTCTGCTAGGTACAGAATCTCTTGTGCGCGATATGAACGTAACATCGCCACACTCGCCAGGGTCAAGGGCTCAGAGCCCCGCTCTGCCCGCCACGCCAAAAACACCAGAGTTCCTACAGAACAGCTCGCTACATCGGTCGTCAGGGAACTTCAGCCAGATTAGCGAGCCGACGCCTAAGGCTAGGCAGCCTGGCATCAATCGACAAATCAGTCTTCCCGTGACGGCATCTTACTTCTATGACCCCATGGATCCCAGCACACATAATCTAGAGTATGCTTCTAGAGTGAGTGGTATTGACTTTGTGTCACAGGGAAGTCTCACAGATGGTGGCGCAGGAACAGAGAGCAACACCACGCACGGCTCACAAGCCAGCGGATATTCGACAAGCTCAAGCGCGGCAGCAGTGTCCGCACCAGCCGTCCCTAGTGTTCCCGACCAGCTGAATAATGGACCGTCGACGCGTCATCTCGGGAAGTTGGTCGCCACTCCGGAATCCTTTGCTTCGAATCTCGTTCTGAACATCGATCAAAGCACGACGTCTTGGGGGCGTCTACCCAAGAACACAATCGTGTACGAGGACTCGCATGACACGCGCATCCCAAAAACGGCTTTCATCATCTTCTGGTACTCTTCGGGTGGGGACAGCCGGAACATAGTGGATGAGCTGTCGCAAAAAGGCAAAGATTGGACGAGCCTTGAAAATCTCCATGTCGGCATCTGGACATGTGCAACATTTGGCATCACGGTGAATGGCAAGCTTCTCAAAGAGCACAACGACAAGGGATATGCACTGTATGGTCATTTGCATACAGGCGACATTGTGCAAGTGTATCAAGACCCCAAAGGACCCGCCTGTCAGAAATTTAGATGCGAGTTCTATCTCGGATCTGGCCGTGAGCCCCGGCCAGCTGGCAGCAGTTTCGACACTCTGGTCGGGACCAAGGTGGTTTAATGTGGACCAAAGAAGACGACAAGAGTGAACAAAAGTAACGAAGGAGGGAACATTGTTAATGAATATGGGTTAGCGGGGCGCTGGTGGATATATGTATGTATCATGTTTAGTATGCAGTTAGCATTGCATTTTCATGGCGTTTGGCCTGCAGGTTCAGAAGACAAATAGTCAATCTAGTGGGGATTGGTGGCATCACACAACAATTTAAATCCAGACATTTCTCGTCTTTGCGTGCCTTGACGGCAGCAGTAGCGGATGGTGGATGGGTGGCAGTTGCATGTAGTTGCAGTAGAGTAATGTCTAGGACTCGGTTTGGGCCTAGCGACCCGGTTTTGAAGTGACATGTGGCCCGAAACAGAACAAGGGTAGGTCCAAGGCCAGGTAAGTTACTCAGCATGCCGTCGACCCTGCCTGGACGGTCAGACATGTATTCTACGCTGCGAGTGGACACACCCAGTCCACTTTGCCCGTCCACACCCTCTTCCCAGTGCATCCGTCTCGCGCCATGAGGCACTTTTGGGCCCTGCCCGCTGTATTGCGCATTGCGCTTGCAAGCCAGCACGCCTTCAGTGTGTTTGATGACCTGCTTGCATTCCCCCAGGTACCGTGACTAGGATGCGCTTTGCGCTGTTGACACGTCATTGCTAACACTGTGCACCAGTATGAAATCGCATGGCCAGACACGTTTGTTTCCGAAAAGCATGCGACATCGCTCCTCTCTCAGGGCTACTCACCCAGCTCCAGTGCCACGACACCCGGCACGCAAGCGACGCAAGAGCTCTCCAAGCGCGCGGCCTCGCACGCAGACAGCCCGCTGCCCACCGAAAAGAGCCTGGGTCAGACGTATGAGGCGGTTGTGTTGCACGGGCAGCGCTACCTCTGCAGCATACCCGTGATTCCCGACCAGGAGCCGCAAAACAGCACAACGTCGGCCGAAGATGCCAAAGCTGAGGAGGAGAAGGAATTAGTGCGCGCCGCAGATCGTGGGTGGCAGCTGCTCGAAGGCATGCGTGGCAACTGCATCTACTACCTCAGCGGCTGGTGGAGCTATAGCTTCTGCTACATGGATCATGTCAAGCAGTTTCACCAACTACCGCCTAGTCGGGGGGTGCCCATCTATCCGCCCGTTGAAGACACTAGTGTGCACAGCTTCATCTTGGGCAGATACCCAAAGAACGACAAAGGCAGCAAAGCCGGCGGGCACAAGTCGTTGGGCAGCGAGCAGGGCAGCAAGGCAGCATTCGACGACGAGGGCAATCACCAAGAGGATAAGGGCCTCGAAGTGCCACGTCTGGAGACCAAGGGCGGCAGCAGATACATGGTGCAGCGACTTTCGGAAGGTACCGAATGCGACCTCACGGGGAGGCCGCGCAAGATCGACATCCAGGTAAGCGCAACGAGAGCAGCATGTCCGTCTTGAGCCTGACTAACCACAGTCCCATTAGTTCCACTGCAACCCCCAATCTGCCGACCGCATCGCCATGATCAAAGAGACCAGCACTTGTTCCTATTTCATGATCATTGACACCCCCCGCCTCTGCCGCGACGCTGCCTTTCAGCCGCCCCAAAAGAACCTCGCCCACCCCATCGCCTGCCACCCTGTGGTTCCAGACTCCCAATTTGATGCCTGGACCGCCGCGAGAATAGATTCCGAGAGTGCTGCGCAAGCCGAGCACCCAACCACCGAACCCGACACAGCCAAATCGAACCCTCTGCGCGACATGAGCGAAGGCGTCGAGGGCACTACTAAACCTAGGCCCATCATTGGCGGCATAGAAGTTGGAGGCCAGACCCTCGTTGGCAGCGAAGGTAAAGTGATTGAGAAAAGCGTGGTGGTGGGAGGCGGCAAAGAAACCTACATTGGCACCGTCGCCAGCAGTACAGGCAAGCAAATGTCCAAGGAAGAAATGAAGAAGCTTGAAATTGCCGATCCGAAGGATGTGGAGAAGCTCAAAGGGAATCTGAAGAAGTTGGCGGGCAGGAAGGGGTGGAAGTTGGATCTCGTGGACACACCGAGAGGCAGGGAGTTTAGGGGTATCATTGAGGCAGATGAAGAAGACGCAGAGACGGAGAAGAAGGTTGAGGAGGGCGAAGGGAGAGCAGAGGAGAAGCACGGTGGCATGGACAAGGGCAAGTGGGCAGGAGGCGATGGCGATGAGGAGCGGCAGGTCGAGTACGAAGAGGAAGAAGAGGTGCAGGAAGGTAGCGAAGAGGTTTACAAGGACGAATTGTAAAGTGAGGCGTGTGGAGTATAGTGCTAAACTGGTAAAGAATACTAGAGTCAACCCTTTCTAGTCGTCTACGACACTTGCTGAAGGTTGCGCTGCCGCGACCAGACAGCCAAAGTGTATGAAGGATGCGCAGTGTTGATAGTGTTTGTACAGCTACCGTGTACGCATGAAAGAGAAGAAGCAACGAGGTCGGAATAGGCACCTCTTTGAAGTCACCGCCTACACAGGGCGCACCTTGTTGAGCCATCCGATCCGCTCGCGACCCATGTTTTGACAATCCTCATGGTATCTTGCGTCGGTTGCTTCACAGCCCAGACTCTCTGTCTCTAGCCTGGACCGGTAAGAGTAGGAAAGGGAAGCAAGTCTGGGGGGGGGATTCATGGCACATCCGACTAGTGGCCATGACGCTAGTGTACACTCATGTACTCCTTTTTTCGCATACTCTACATACATATATACTCTAGCTAATGCAGTGCAACTCCTGGTCCTGATGAGATAGGTAGCGGCGGTTGCAAGTAAATTGCTTGCCCGAAACATGAGCTGAGCGTACATGAAGCAGCCCTGTAGTAGTCTGTCTGGATGGCTTTCAGGGGCACCGCATGTGTACATGCCGGTCTCCACGTCTGTTGATCGCGGCTCTACATAACCTCTAATTGTAGAGCGTTTAGGAGA